ACCGCCTGTTCCTAACAACCCACCCCTCGGCCAACGTCGTAAACTCCCGCCACGAACACGACCACCACCGCCGCTCGTGGACGAATTCATCGATCTGGTGGAGTGCTGTGATGAGGATGATGCTCCTGGTAATCAGTCCGAGAGACAGATGACCCCATTGGTCACTGTCGCCCGACCAGACTCCACACCACCGCCCGATCTGGATCAAATGGAAGAGGGTGGTGGCGGTGGTAGATCACCGACTGTCGACGACCATCTCTCGGAAGTTGCACAACTCTCTTACCCTGCCTGCCTTTCAACACCAAATATACATTCGACAACGGTGAGCGGTAGTGAAACTCCAAAGACCTCGGCCTGTACTGCAGGTGAGACTAAGTTTACTTGTTTCCGTAATCATGGTTATATGCACGCGATTTTTTGTATTTACGTAGTTATTAGCTTCGGACTGCAGTCCTTCAAATAGATATGGCTGGGCTGCTAACCTCACTATTAATGAAGAATCGACGATCGCTGGCGGAAGTCACTCTTCCCCCTCTGTCCTGGGGCTCACTCCCAAAGGCCCTTCAGTAGTCATAGGGCGGCTAGTATTATAGGCAGATGAACTGCGGGTGGCGCGTCATGTGAAGTTGAGTATGGCTGGCTGACGACGGCTAATGAGCAAGAGATGGCTATTCCAGTCTCTTTTTTGTCTTTGTCGGAAATGTTCATCTGTCTACAATTGCACTGTTATCTGACTATCTATGTGGATTTTGATTGTATTGAGTGAAAGAATCAACAGTGCTTTTTGGCAGGTATTTTGGGCGGGTCACGCACCCAATTCTGTCTGTCATCTCTTCTGTATTTAGATTTGCCACTGACCTAAAGTGCCATTTTGAGGATAGTGCGGCCGGTTAACCTCGCATGCTTCTCTGCATAATTTAATTGATGTTCATTTGACCAGTCACGGTGCTCTAAAAGTCGCTGCTCGAAAGGATGCTGGTCGTTGTGATAACTGTTCATTTAAGTCGTACCGATTTGGCTCCTTGATTCGACTTCGTAGTAGCAAATGCAATTGAGTGAGAAAATCAGCATTCACTGCTACAATTGCACATCAGTCAGTCATTTCGTGGGTGAGAATCTAATGATTTTATTACTGTATGACGGATTCTTGTTTGATTTGGGTGAACATGTTCTGCCTAGGTTCGCGACTGTTTAATCGGTAAACTTTTGGTTGAAGTCTATGATTAGGATTGGGATTTAGGGCTAAATTAAGGGTTAGGAATTAGTTTAAGGGTGGAAATTGGGTTAGGTGATCGATGCTAGGGATTAAGGTTTAGGGCGAGGACTTAGAGTTATGGAATACATTTTTATGCTAAGGGTCAAATATTGCGGTTATGGTTAGGATTTGGGTTCAGGGTTAAGGCAATTGGGTCCTCATTTCAGCGAATACCCTGGACTGTCCTCTTTTTAACCGGTTTACATAACACCTTTTGACTTGCACTCTCTTTTGATTGGCCATTTTGAAAAATGTAGACGTCATGGGTTCCAGTGCGCTTTTTAATCTTTCTGTACCTGAGTCCTTGTTTTGGATTTGTTTATTATTATTATTATTATTATTATTATTATTGTTGAGCTGCCTCGTCTCTACGACCTAAGCCAGAGGGCGACCTTTTTTCATACTGAGCCATCGCTCCTGTATGTCAGTCTGCGTCATAGAACAATAGGGCTAGAATGGGTACGCAATCCTCTCTCAGCTCATTCGTCACAGCGAAGGCTCCAAACGTGGGTTCTTTGTCGGTAAGGCCGGTTTCCATGCTTGGAAATTGCGTCATTGGATGAAGTCCTTGTTCCAGGTTTAATGTCGTGCCTCAGATTTTTTGCTTAGCTAATTTATCGATAGGTGTTGCCTATGTGATCCCTTCATTTTCTTCATTAAAGGGGAAGGGGATGGAAAATACCCCCTCGTAATCCTTCCTTAAGCAGACAAGTCAGCTACTTCGGAAGAGAAGAACCGCAGTATTTCGAGGACTTAGTGCTAACAGCGCCGGTGCTGGAATATGTTCCATTTGCGAGCGGGAGCAGGCTCTAGTTTTACCTCGACATATTGAACTACTTTCCTACGTTTTGTGGATTGCATGGGCTCGGCGTTCACTGGCTTAGCCCGATTGCAGGACGGAACACGTACGTGCTATTTTGCTTTGGAGCTTCAGTCCATAGCGCTCGTAGACAACCGCATAGCGATGTGCACTGGGGATTGAAGGCGCC